TCGGGGTCGCCGCGGCCGGGAGACAAAAGGGAAACTGCCTCTGTTCGCGGTGCGGGATCCGAGCAGCCTGCTCGACCTCGACCTCCTCCCCCCACCCTCCGCTGCTGCTCCGCCTCCCTCCCCTCGGGCGGTCCCCGCAGTGCTCCGGGACCCGGCAAGCCTTCGGGGCGCGCGTCGCTGCTGGTGTTTGAGGCTCTAGCGATAATAAATGATAGAGGATACAATGACTTTGCTGTCTCTGCTGGGTCGCATCATGCGCTACTTCTTGCTCAGACCCGAGACACTCTTCCTGCTGTGCATCAGCTTGGCGCTGTGGAGTTACTTCTTCCACACTGACGAGGTGAAGACCATCGTCAAGTCCAGCCGGGACGCCGTGAAGATGGTGAAGGGCAAGGTCGCTGAAATCATGCAGAACGATGGGCTTGGGGGGCTCGACGTTCTGGAAGCCGAATTTTCCAAGACCTGGGAGTTCAAGAGCCACAATGTGGCCGTGTATTCCATACAGGGCCGGAGAGACCACATGGAGGACAGATTCGAAGTTCTTACGGACCTAGCCAACAAGACGCACCCGTCCATTTTCGGGATCTTCGACGGGCACGGGGGCGAGGTAAGAGTTCTTTGGGGGCGCTGTGTGTGTGCGTGTGTGTGTGTGCGCGTGTGCGCGTAGACAACAGGACGTTGTGTTCGCAGCAGGTAGGACTTGGGTGCGAGGGGCGTGGTGATAATCCGGAGCCGGGCGGAACAAAGCCACTAGTTTCAAATTGCCTCAATTTATGAGGTTTCAGGCGGTCAGAACCCAGCAAATGACTGCTAGTTTTGCGGGAAGAGTTAATGATTTCTACAGTGAACTTTGGCCCGAGGTCTCAAAGCCCTCGTTCTAGGGTTTGAGACCGAGCTAGGCACAAAGAAGGAAGAAAATATTTTTGATTCACATTAGGGAAAAAAAGACACAAAATGCAGAGCCGAGTCAGTGAGTGATCAGTGCAGAGGAAAGAAGCTGTGACTCCTTCCCATCGCCTTCGCCCTGAGGAGGAACCCGAGGGACAGTCCTGCGCTTCTTCCCAACTCCATTAACTTTGCAAGTGCAATCGGGCCAGTTGACAGCAGCGCCTCGCTGGCCGCCTGCTTTTAGCTGGATCGCAGCGGAAGACCCGAGATGCCTCTGGCCTTTGCAGAGGTGGCGGTGACCGCAGAGGCGACGGTGCCCAGATCTCGCCTCTGCGCCCTCGCCGGCGTAGGACGCAGATGTCTCCCAGCTTCTAAACTCCTTTATGTGGGGTTCATGTGGGAGCAAGAGATGAGATTAGACCGGTAGAATTCCCTCTCCCAGATTTTGCGGCACCCTGATTGCGCTCCGGGACTCAGATTTCCTGGAGGTCAGGGTGAGGACTGGCTCTGGTCCTTGGGCATCAGCCTAGGCGAAGTGAATGGCAAATGTGGCTCCAGGGCCATGCTCCAAAGAGCACTAGGCCAGCCACCCCATCTCTCTCAATTTGGTAGTTTGCACTTTCATTACCGCATACTTCTTTTTTTTTTCCCAGCGTACTTTCTCATATCACCATGGCCTCCTTTGCCACTCTTTCTTCATCATTTCCCCCTCCCTGCACAACCCTGTGCTCCCATCCAACTTTTCCCCCAACTCTCTTCTTGGCCCTTCCGGTCTCAGGGTAGGCTGTAGGGGATGCCATTCTTTTTCAATCCTTGCTTGTTTTTTGGCGTTTGTTTTGGGTGAATATTGAGAAAGCTTTCAGTTGGTTAACTGTTTGATATAAAGTCGCTTCACTTTCCACTCTGCTAATCTTTCCAAGATATTGTATTTACCTGCCTTATAGAACCCACTTTGCCAGGAATTACAAATTTAGTTGGAAAATTTATTTGATAGAACTGAAATCAATTTTTGCTATTTTCCATTCACTCTGGCCCTTTCTGTGTTCTTTCTTTTAAAATGAAGTTTTCACTGATTGTAAATTTGTAACCTCCTGTTTATTGTGGTTCTTTTCCTTGGTCACAGTGTAGATGAAAGATGTGAAGTTAACTGAGGAAAGAGATGCTGTGTACTTGGGTAAAAATGTACCTGAATGACAAGGTTGCCAATATAATGACTGATTTGTTTTCTTGGCTTGAGTCAGAATGTTTATATTTTCATTTTATGTTTCTAGACTGTTATAAGACTTTTAATAAAGCTTATATTTATTATATATTTTTATATTAAAGCCATTGGCAGATAATCTGTTCCTGCTCTTAGAGAGTGCAATTTTATTTTTAAATTAAAGGTATGGGTATAATGTTAATGTTGTGAAACTTTGGTTTGTGCTTGTTTGGGTGTGCTATATTGGCATGTTTCAATTCTGAATGTGTAAGTGCATGCTATTTTAAATATTCTTTTAAGTTGATATTCTAAAACCTGAAAGTTGCAGACCCAAACAGATTTCAAGTTGAAAAATTTCCAGTACTGTCTTCTGGTAAATGTACTATCCAGAAAAAGTACAGGATAAGTGCTTTTTATTTAACTAGAAGCATTTTACATGTATGAAGTTTTTCATTAAATTTTTAAATAATAGAAGAGATGATCAATGTTAGTGAAAATATGAAATGCTTTTCATTGTGCCTTACTTTAAAAAGCCTGCTGTTCGCAAAGTAATATTATCACTGTGCCCTTAAAAATAGAATAATTGTTCTATCTATAACCTCCTAATGTATGTAGCTAGTTCATCATTTTGGCTTTTAGGGCAAAATAAGGAGTTACAAGAAGTTATTTAGTTGCTATTGGAAATGCTGTAATAACAAATAACATTAGGTAATTTCTCTCCTGCATTTTCTTTTATTCAAAGAAAATCCCATCAGCTAATTCTTTTGTGTTGTTTAACTCCTTTAACATTCACCAGAGGAGGGTGCCACTGTTTGATTTTGGTATAGGTGATAGTTATCTCCTTTCAGAAAAGAGGAATCTTTTTCTGAATTCTCTATTAGTTATATGTATGCTGTTTGTAGAATGCTACAGAAGATAAACAAGGAGTTTAATTTTATTTACTAATAATTTAAACTAATAAGGTAGGCTATAAAAAAACCAGAGCCCATCTACAATGGTAGTGCTTTTTAGATTCAGAAGGGACATAAGTCACCTTGGATATTCATTTCATCCCATTTTTTAGATGAGATTTTTGTTGATAGGCGGAGAAGTTGTGATCCTCCTAAGGCTACATGGCTAGTTCAAGGCCTTCAGTTTTGTGTTCTTTATATTAAATCACTGGACAAATTTATTTGCATATTTACCTAGATAGATAGCACATTAGGGATACAAAGGTAAGTGAGACATGATTTCCATCCTCAAAAAGTTTCAGTATAGTGTGAGAGACAGACCTGTATGCCAAAAATTACAGTCATGCTGTGCTTAGGGTAGCATGGAAACACTGAGGAGGGGTATTTAAATCAGACTAGGAGGTAGGAGGCTCTGGAAAGACACTTCGGAAGGCATCATTTACTGCAAGGTTAAAGCGTAGGCTTTGACTTGAGATCTGGCTTTGAATTTCTGCTCTGCCTTATACTAGCTGTGACCTTGGGCAAGTTGCTTAGCAACTTTATCTGGGAGTTTTTAATCTGAAAAATAGGAATAGTAATTCACGTGAGCTTCACCCTCATCAGTTGTGTTATACCAGATCTAAAGAAATTCTTAATGGAGAAAATGTGGAAGAAGAAAGCTCAGAGACCAAGAAGTCTACAGTGTTAGGGCAACAATATTCAGCAGAGAGAGACTCTACATGTGAAAGCCACGACTTTGATCACTAGACGGGTGTACATTAGATATGGATAATTCATTAGGTGTCCCCAAACTCTCTATCTCTCGTTGTTCTGACTTCTGGTGAACTGATTATTAAATCAGGTTCCAGGTATCCTAGCATTGGGAAAGCAGCATCTTGGCTTCAGGTGCAAATTTTCTGATTAGCGAAAAAGAATATTCTGTATGATTAATTAATAAATTAGTATTTGGATTTGTACTTCACTGTCTTATGACTTGAGTTAGCATGACTTAGGTCTCTTGAGCCTATTCAGGTGTATATTTTTGACAAAGATGTCTCTGGACTTGTTATGCCAAGGAACAGACTTCTAAGTAGAAGAGATCTTAAAGAGCTTTGTCTCAGTGGCTGTGACTTCTAAGTGGATGAGATCTTAAAGAGCTTTGTCTCAGTGGTCCTATAAGCCAGCTTCCTCACTTGATGTCCTTGGGCCCTTGAGACATTCTAACCTCAATACTGTGGGTAGATAGTTGACTCTGTGTGTGTGTGTGTGTGTGTGTGTCTAAAGTTTTGGCAGTGATTGTTTTGCTGTATGACAAAAGATAAAAATAACAAAAAGGTTAAAAAAAGCTCAGATTCTATCAACTGATGTGGAAAGATTATTTTTTAAATTAAAACAATGTTTAGGAAAATTTATTTGTTTGTTTTTGGTGCTTATCTGTAATTTTTTATCCACAGGCAAAGGCAGGTTTTTTGTTTTTACTTTTTATATTATCTAGAAGAAATATTACCAATCCTTTGAAACAACTTTGTCAGTGTTCGTGGCTGAAACCTATCTCGAAGAACAAATTGTTATGTGTTCCATATGCTTATGGGCATTACTTATTAATGGCCATGTATTGTATCATACAGTTGACACACAGCTTGGCTAATGGTTAAGCTTAGAGTTCTATACTTCACATTAGAAAGAAGCTGTATTTCGGATGCAATCTTGAGGCTCAGCACTTCTCAGAAGCTCAGAAGAGAAACTTCATATGGAAGATTGCCTGAAGAATCTACATAGTCTAGTTCTTTAGATCAGTGGTTCTTGACTTTTCTAGTCATGCTTTTCTTTGAGGGTGTTGTGAAACTACAGACATATCCCCCAGAAAAAGGGACACGTGCATCAAGTTGTGTTTTTTAATTCCAAAGTTAAGTGGATGCATTAAGCCTCTGGATTTTAGGTCTAGATAGAATAAAATCTGTTTCTGATAAATCTAGACCTGCAGAGAGCTGTGTGCATGAACTTTCTTGGCCCAGTGGCCTTCCTCTCCATCATTTGCATATATTCACTTGCGTGTTGTCATTTGCCTGTGAGAGTTGTCATGAGTGATGGTCTTTCAAAGCTCTGACAAATCAACTGCAAGGATATGTCACTGAGGACTTTATTTGTTAGGTTACATAACAAATAAACCTAGACCAAGGAGGAGAGAGTTCTCTGATAGCTTTTTGTTTTTATTTTAAGGATGCCGAATCATATGACTGATTCAATCATCCTGTGTTGGTTGGCTGCTAGAGGTGCTAGAACCAAACCTCTGACCACCTCTAGCAAATGGGAAAAAATTTACTGAATACATTAATTTGGTACATGAACTTCACTCCCAGGACAGCTTATTTTCCTACATCAGTTTTTCTTTGTCCTGTTTCTCTCTTTCTTCTCTTACATATGTTATTTTATCTTGCTGTATATGTATTTGTGAAAGTTTCATTGGATCCTTTCCGAAATAAGATATAGTTCTGAATAAATAAATTATGAATGGTACAATGAATGATCTGCTTTTCAGACATTACAGCTGCTGTTAATAAATGTTGGGCTCTTGTGTTACTGATATAC